TTAGAGAAAGTTATCATGGTTTAGCATTAGATAATGATCATTTACTAATTCAACTTTATCTCGACGATATTGGATTGACGAATCCATTGGGATCGAAACGTGATAGGCATAAGATGAGCATGATTTACTTTACTCTTGAAGATATACCAGATAAATACAGATCAAAGCTTGATTTTATTCAGCTTGTTGCTATTTGTGAAAGTAAAATTCTGAAGGTAAAAACTTTCATCATATATATGAATACGAAAACACTTCTATTGACTAAGAAATTATTGAATCGATTTGAGAGAAACCAAAATTAATTGTTTCTTTGAGTGGATTTTGAATATTTGTAGTAGTTGAAACTAATACATTTATGTTTTTTAATATGTAGTACACCATAATAGATATTATCATGATTAATCTAGTTTAATAATAGCGATAAAATAGTGTAACATATTTGAAATATATCAGAATCTTTTTGGTTTATTTGAGGATACTCTCAAAACAAAAACATTTTTTCAACCAATTATTGACAATTTGAATAAATTACAACTCAATGGTCTTATGATCAATCATACTCATTTTAAATTTACATTTTCAACTGTTGTTGCAGATAATCTCGCAGCTAACTGGTTAGGCGGTTTCCAGACTTGTTTCAATCATAATTATTTCTGTAGGAGATGTTATATTAATTATACAGATAAAGGATCATTAACTCCATTATCAGATATTCAAAGTCGAACGATATTTGATCATGATTCAATAGTTCAGCAGATTTTAAATGATCCAAATGAATCTCCAATTATGGGTGTAGTTGGTGAAAGCCCTTTACATAATCTTATTGGCTTTCACTCAACTACATCTTTACCTGCTGATTGTATGCACGATTTTCTCGAGGGGCTGTGCCGAATGGTGATAATATTACTTTTAAAAGAAGCTTCATCAATGCGTCTAATGACTCATGGTGAGAATCAATTCTTTAATTGAAATTATTATATGAATTTTTATCGTCATAGTTCGTTTTTACTTTCTCATAAATGAGTTAGAGTCGATTTAATCTTCGCCTTTGATATTTTTATTTGATTAAATCTTTAAATAACAAACTAACTCGACAATAAGCCATTGATTTATAGATTATTATATATGAATCTTTTTTTTCTATGCTTCTCTTCAATTCAGTGAAGTTTAGCGAGAAACATCGAAAAATAATATCGATACTTCTTATCTAAAATGTATTTTTTTT